CGAGTGCACACGCCCTATAGCAAAAACCTCTTTAAAAAATTACGTTTGTTAATAGTACCAAACTTTTGACCTTTCAAATAATTGCATGTATTTTCAGTCTCTCCTCATCCTTTAACCTTATTTTTAAATGTCTTCCTTTGGGACCAGCATATGTTGTAATGGTTATGTCACTGGACTACAACATAGTCAACCACAGTTCAAATCCCAGACCCAGTGACTTAAAACTCATGCCAGGAGCATGCACGTGTGTACCCAAAATCCCAAGAGAAGAATGGAGGAGAAGGCATTGTGATGAGCCCATCCCCCTGGGGAGGTGATTTCTCACTTTCTATCTCTCTATCTATCTCTCCCAGTGAGCACACCTGCCCTATAGCAAAAATTTCTCTCAAAATAAATAAGTAAACATCTTCTTTTTTTAAAAGAAGTTTTACATTAAAAAAATTAAAAAGCTTATTTATTTCTTCCATGAGAGAGAGAAAGAAAAAACTTCCAAAACCTCACACCACCATCCACTCCAGGTTTCAGCCAGCGAAGATCCCAGGACCATGCATGTGTGCCAGTGTTTTTTAGGGGAGACTTTAGAACACAAATCCAGGACCTTGGCATGTTGTTCAACATCACAGAGTACATTGCATTACCTCTGTCAGGATGTTAAAATTTTGATGCAGTCAAATCTATTAGTCATTTCCCCATGGCTTATTCTGTTACTGCCTTATTTAACAAGTCTTTCTCCATCTCCAGATAATAGAGTTCCCAACGTTATTTCAAATTTAAGCTTTTGTTCCAAGTTGGATTTATTTGGGGCCTTGATGTGAGGGAGGAACCTAATTTTATTTCTCTTCAACCGAAAGTTAGTTTGACAGTCAGCCCTTTTCTCTGTTTTCTTTTGTGCACTTCAATTATATTCCATCCCATACCTGTTGAAGTATCTTTCTGAGTTCTTTCTCTTTCATTGCTTAATTCATCTCCTGTGTCAGTACCATATGGAACTAATTAGCATGATCCCATGGTATGACTGCCACCTGGTAGGGAGGTCCCTTGTCTTAGTTCTCTGGGTTTTATTTCTTTATGTCATTACTCTTCATTATGAGTTTTAGAACTATTGAGTCGTCAGGAAAAGTCATGACGTATTTTTCCATGCAAAAATACATCATGACTTTGACTTATGATCCAATAATTAGCCAAGTAACCAAAGTGCTCTTGGGATTATTATTGGGATTGCATTGAACTAACAGAATAAATTTAAGAGAACTGACATTTAGAGTATAGAGTCTCTTCATCCATGAACAGCATATTTCTCTATTGATTCATACCCTTTTTATGTTTTTGAGAGGAGGTTGTAATGACTCGTACCTTCATTTTATTTTATGTTTGTTGAAATGTCCAATATTTAGATTCCAGACAACAGAATGACTCTGTAGTAATTAAACTATAGGAATGAAAATTTCATTTTTAAGTTGTTTGGGGTTCTATCAGGGTTCAGAGGGTGGAGAATGCTAGCTATCATCCCTGGGTAGATAACTCTCTTGCAGTAGTAGTTCATACAGGTAGGCGTACCATTTGCAAAGTCGTTGAGGCATGACACCACATACTTCTGCCCCTGGGTTGACTGACACTGGTTTCATCAGCACCTGGTTTAGCAGGTGTTCGCCAAACAGTAAATCCACTAACCACATCATGCCTATGTGTTTTCTACCCACAGAAGACTATATGAACCATTTTGCCAAATGCTTTGTTTAAATTTAGAATCACTTTATGGCATATTCCTCTTCTAATGAGCCATTCTTATTTCTTAAAATCACTTTTTGTGTCTTACCGACAATCTGCATCCTGTTTCTCACCTAACATTATGGAAACCATCTCTGCCTACACGTTATTTTCCCGTATCAGTTCTTCTGGCATTTTTTCCATGATGTGTGATTTCATAATTTGCTAATATGACAGTATGTTCAACCGCTGATTTCCCAATGAAGCATTTGATTACTTTAACATATATATATATGAAATTTTTCTTTCCCACTCACCAATAAAAAGAAAACCATATATATACTCACACACATACACACGCACACACACACACACACACACACACACTTGTTCCTTATTATCACTACATTCTCTGTAGCAACACCACACACCAGTGTTGGGACCCACTTAAAAACCAGCACTGTTGACCTAGGATACTCCTGACATTTAAAACCATTGAAGGGGCCAGCGGGTGGCGTGGTGGTTAAGGTGCTGAACCACGGTTCAAATCCTGGACCCGGTGGCTTGCTTTCTCACCTTCTCTCTCTCTCTGTGTCTCTCTGGTCAACATAAAAATAAATGAATGAATAAATAAAGTTAAATAAATAATTTTAAAATAATAAAATGTTAAAAAAAAAGACCATTGAAGAGCATGATATCGCTACATTTAAATAAGTAGGGCAATGGGTAAGAGTAGTTAAGCAAGACTGGCTCAGTGGCACAGCAATAATATACACAACAAACAATACTAGATCCAGGTAGAGGATTGAGGGTTTGTTCCGTGGTCAGCCTGTACGCGCTAAGTGCGCACCCATGATTCTGGCTGGCTGAGAGGACTGAGAAGGCTAATGGTGTGGGGCCTTCTTGAGGGTGCCTGTCTTTCTCTGCCTCTCACTCTCATGGAAAAATATGAGGAGGTCTTCAAAAAGTTTATAGAAAATGGTTATCTTGGGGGAAAAACATACATGGGTTTAAATTTTTTTTTTTGAAACAATACTACCCTTTATACCATGTCTGAACAGGATCTAGATTGAGGAACTAAAAAAATATGACATCAATTTGAATAGGCTCTATCAGAGCAACATGAATTCTGCTAAAATGGAATGAAGGACAATCAAGCTTACGGTGAAGCTGGGAAGGAAGAATGGTGAAATCCTTGATGTTTTGCAAAAAGTTTATGGGGTCTTGCCCCCAGAGAACTCAACAGTTTACAGACGGATAACTTGTTTTAAAGGGGGGCCAGATAGATAATGCTGAATGTGATGCCCATAGTACAGACCACCTACATCAGTTTGTGAGGAAGAGATTCATCTTGTTTGTGCCCCATGTTAAAGGAAACCAACAGTGCAGGGGCCAGGAGCGCCCCCTCCGGGGCCGAGGCAGGTCTGCGCCGGGGCTGGAGACGGGCACCCGTGCTAGGAGAGCGACTGAGGGGGGCTGTGGGTGCGGCCTGCTTCCTCCCATCAATAAAGTTCCGCTGAGACCCCCCCCCCAAAAAAGAAAAAGGAAACCAACAGTGAACAGCAGAAATGATCGCTAACATAGACATCTCAGTTGGTTTAGCTTACTGACTGAAAAAGTAAAGTTGAGTAAATCTTCTGCTCGATGGGTTGCCCAAACTCCCATGTCCTGACCAACTGCATTCAAGAGCAGAGCTAGCTTTCATGGAAATCAAAACAAGTAGAATCAAAATCCGAAGCATTGTTTCAAAGAATTGTAAGAGGAGATGACACTTGACTTTTCCAGTATGACCCTGAAGACAAAGTTCACTCAAAGCAATGGCTGCCCAGAGGTGGAAGTGGTCCCGTCAATTAAAACTGGACTAGCCAAGAGCAAAGGTTATGGCACCAGTTTTGGGGGGTGCTCAGTGCCTTTTGTATGTGGACTTCTGGAGGCCCAGAACAATAACATGTGCTTATTATGAGTGTTTTAAGAAAGTTCACCAAAGCTTTATCAGAAAAGCACCTGGGAATGTTTCACCAGAGAGTTCTCTACTGTAACAAGGTCCTGCTCATTCTTCTCATCAGATCAGGGCAGTTTTGCAGTTTTTCCCTGGGAGAGCATCCACCTTACAGTCCTGATTTGGCTCCTTCTGAACTTTTTTTTATTTACTAATCTTTAAAAAAAAAAAAACTTTAAAAGACACCCATTTTTCTTCACTTAACAATGTAAAAAACGACTACATTGATGGTTAAATTCCCAGGATATTAAGTTTGTCAGGGATGGCATAAGTTTTTGGTACCAGAGAATGCTTTTGTGGAAGACAATTCCTCTATGGACTGGCATGGGGAGGAGTTGTTTCATGAGAGCACACAACCTAGATCCCTTGCATGCGCAGTTTACAACAGCATTCACATTTCTTTTTTTTTGGGGGGGGGAGGTTTTCGCTATAGGGCGCATGCGCTCGCCAGACAGATGGAGAGAGACAGAGAGACAGAAAGTGAGAAATCAACCCCAGAGGGGATGACCACGCCGCAGTCCCTTCTCCTCCATTCTCTTCTTGGGATCTTGGGCATGCACGCACACGCGCCTGGCATGAGTTTTAAGTCACCAGGTCCGGGATGCGAACTGCGGTCAACTACGTGGGAGTCCAGCAACATAGCCATTATGCTAACTGCTGGTTCCCAACAGCATTCGCATTTCTATGAGAATCTAATGCCACCACTGATCTGAAAGGAGGTAGAGCTTGGGTGTTGATGAAAGCAATGGGGAGCAGCTGTAAATACAGGTGAAAGTTCCCTCACTGACCTGCTTCTCTCACCTGCTGCATCGCCCATTTCCTGACAGACCAGGGACCGGTACTGTTCTGTGACCCAGGGGTCAGGGACTAAATGGATTTTAGTCCCCAACCTGGTCTAAATGGCCAGTATTACCATTTACAGAAATATCTTGAACTTGATAGAGTTTATGTTAAGTAATCAAGTTTATCATCTTTTTATTTTTATTTTTTCATTCCATTTTCCATCAGCTTGTTGAAGTTCTCTCATAAACTTAAAAAATAAAAAAAAGATAACCAAACAGCTTCAATATTGGCTAAACATCTAAGATTTTTTATTTACTGGTGGAAATCTGATCTGAAAATTCCAATGCTTTCAAGATGATAAAAGGAGAAGAGAGACTTTTCTATGAAAGTTTCATTTACTGACGGGCTGTGGAAGGGGATTTTAAGTAATCAGAGAAAATCTCACTAAGCTTGCCTTAATTCTTCAGTCAGAGTAATGCTAACAATTTTGTTGTCATTTATGTTTTTGCAGCTTCCAATTGTTGAAAAGATAAGAACCATCGCCCAGGCTGTCTATGGAGCCAAAGATATCGAACTTTCTCCTGAGGCCCAATCCAAAATAGATCGTTATACTCAACAGGTAAAAGTTGTACTTTTATGGGGGAAAAGCTACCTTAAGCTCTCACCTTGACTTGAGACTGGTGGTCTGTCTTACCAGAGGAGTTTCATTTAACATATTTGATAATCACCAAAGATTAATATCCTTGGGTAGAGTGTGAACCATATTAAGAAAGCAGGGTGAGAGCACATATCCTGTGATCAAGTCATCATTGACTTCTGCAGTCATGCGTGTCTACGTGGGTGGCATCCATGTTTGTATCTCTAGTCCTTCCCATTTGCTCACAAACATCAAAACAGTCCTTTCGTGTGCAGCTGCAGAGTCAGATTTAGATGATTTTGCTGTGGTGCTTCCTCTTCATTGCTATCCTGAAAATGTTAGCATGGTGCTAGATTAGGCCAACCGGAGTGGAGCATGTAAGGATGGGAATGTTTGGTATTCTTTTGATGCAGGTGACTTGTTGACTTTTTGCTGAGATTGTCTGCTGAGGTTGTAGGTTCCATCGTCTTCCACCCCTATTGAGTGACAAAGGCATGGCATCTGTGAGGTCACCATCTAGTCTCATCATGGTCATGATCAATCAACCCCATGGCAGGACATTCCACCACCCTGACCAAAAGGACCGTATGCCTCAAATGTCCTATCCAATTTGGCATAATGAGGTGAAAATCAAAGCCCTTCAAGTTACCTATTTTTCATAATTTCCTAACTCCTTAATCCTATTTGCAAATAGTATCTGACATTTTGTTATATATTATTACCCAAGCTGAGCAAGGTAGTTTCCCTGGTTTAGTAAGACAGTCAGCAACTCATTTTTTTCTTACAAATTTTTATATATACACCAAAATAAATAAATAAATAAAATAACCTTCTGCCATTGTGGTTTGGGTTTTCCATTTATTTGTTTGTTTGTTTGTTTGTTTTTATGGAGAGGTTTTTGCTATTGAACGTGTGTGCTCGCCAGAAAGACAGAGAGAGACAGAAAGATAGAAAGCAAGAAATCACCCCCCGGGGGGGATGGCCACTTCTTCTCCACTCTCAGAATCTTGGGCATGCACTCTCACGCGCTTGGCGTGAGTTTAAGCCACCGGGTCCAGGACTCAAACAGCAGTCAACTACATGGGAGTTCCAGCGCCATAGCCATTACACCAACTGCTGGTCCTGGGTTTTCCTTTTATTAAGTGTCGTGTTCAGGATCCACACAGTCATATACTCTTAGCCTCTTTTCCAAAAGGATTCCTAGACATCGCTCTGTACACCAGCACTGTTCTGGGGTGAAATATTTATCAATTTGCAATGAGCTGAGTAAAATCAGACCGTGATTATGAATGGTTTTTTAAATAAGTATTTAGTAAGGCTATTTAAAATTATCATCTATTCTAAGTTTCAGTCTTTTTTTAGTCTTAAAAGGTTCTTTTATAAAGTAATTTTATGATGCTATATGATAATTACTTTGTTTTTATTGGGGTTGTTTTGAGGGGGAGAGGTTGAGTTTTTTTGTATCCCTGCTGGCATAATTATTTAAATGGCAAGTCTCTATCAGATCATAGAAAGTATTTCATTCTCAAATGACCTCTGAAATGAAAATGTCTGTGCACCAATTCTATAGAGCAGTCATAGTTACCCCTCAGCGAAATTCTTATCCATATATAAGAATAGGGGTTTCCAAAAGAGGATGACCCCACCCCCCTACACACATACCAATTGTTAATACCCTAAAATCATTTTAATAGTTTTGGGTTGAGTCATAAGGGATTGTGGATGGCTTACCTCTGAAGATTGCATTTCTTTTATCTCTGGCTATCTAGGGAATATTCCATAAAAGTAACGTGGCCAGTCTGTGGTTGCGACTAACGAGCCAAGTCTCCAAATGAACACTATGTGCCATTAATCAGAACCAGGCTTTGAGGACACTGGCTTTTTTGTGACACACTACACGTGACTTCCTGCCCTTTCACCTTTGGAACTCTGGGTCAGGCATAGACTTTGGTCCTTAAAAATAGAAGGCTTAAGTGGTGACCTCATCTTGGTTCCTATAATGTAATCGCAGATCAAATAGCCGTGATTCATAAACCAACACAAAGGGGCCCTTTACTTCCTGACAGTCTCCGAGGATGAGTGGGCACGTGACTCCCAGGCTTGTTGCGAAGCCTCCTCCATATTACCTTTCTGGGTCCCAGATATTAATTAATAGCCTTGGAAAGTGGTTTCTGCAGCTGCTGCTGCTCCTTTGCATAAAAATAGCCAGGCTTTCCCCCAAACATGCCCATCACTCTGCTCTCTCTTAAAGCCTCCTAAATAAGCGCTAGACCCCTTCAGCTGCTGAGTAGTGATCATGCGGAGATGGGCGTTTGCCCTCAGCTTCTTGCTCTGTGAGTAAGTAGGAACACGCGGCTCCTGCATGGGCCCGGACCTGTGCTGACCGACGCTCCTGCTGCAGCGTCAACACGAGCAGGGAACGGACATCGATGCTCAGCGAACCATCTCTGTTTTGTTCTTACAGGGCTTTGGAAATTTGCCCATCTGCATGGCGAAGACCCACCTTTCTCTCTCTCACCAGCCCGACAAGAAAGGTGTGCCGAGGGATTTCGTCTTGCCTATCACTGATGTCCGGGCCAGCATAGGCGCTGGGTTCATTTACCCGTTAGTGGGAACGGTGAGTGAGAACCTGTCTCCAGAGCCCTCCCAGGCCATGTTTTGATGCTAAACACCACCGTGCTCTGCCTCCTGCTTGCCAATCTCATAGTAGGTGGTAATTAGTAATATTTGCTTTTTTTCTAAATACTATTATATGATCAGCACCAAGAAACCAACCCTCTGCCATTGTGGTTTGGGTTTTCTTTTTATTAGATGTTGTGTTCAGGATCCATACAGTCATAAAACTGATTCTTTGCTAGGGCAAGGAAGCACATAATTTGGAGAGAATTAAGTTTGTTGTTTAAATGGTAGGATGATCCAGTACAGTCCTTCTCAATCTTTATTGCATCATGGCACTCAAAATGACACTGCTGGCAACAGTGTGGGAAAGGGAGGTGACTGCTCATGCCACACAGGACCAGCCCAGTATCCCTAAGGGCTGTGGAAATCAGCCTCTCTCCGGACTCCCGGACTCCTCTCCCCCAGCACAGCAGGTGGGAAGCTGTAGCCTAAACAATTAGTGGATCCCAGGAGTTCTCATTTTCGCCATTGTTGTCATGGGGCTGCATTGCTATAGGGTGATAATGTTATTTCAGGTTCTTTATGGGGGAAGGGAGGTGAGTAGAGGAATAGAAACCCGCGGATGGGCCTCAAGCATACCGTACTTCATCGCACCACACAATGATAGCCTTCGCTTGGAGTACTTCCATGGCGTGAATTTCCCTTCTGGTTATGGGAGTGCTTGTGGAGTGGGTTTAGAATTTTAAAATCTTAACTCATCATCATCATTGTTATTGTTGCAAGCTAATCCAAATCCAAACAGAAAACGTCGCCACAATTTTTTGTAATGAACCATGTGGTTTATTATGTAAACAAGCCATAGATAGGGGGACAGTGCCAAAGTCTTGTCTTGATATTTATACACGTGTCGTCTAACATTGGGCAAATGTCTTTGATGCGCATTTTGGATTGTTCTTGCGTGTGAGGCCTGGGGTCCCTGAGAGGAACAAGTATGAGAGGCATTGGTTTGAACAGCGCAGGGCGTTTGGAGCGTGCCAGGTTGGCATTCTGAACTCTGGCCCAGGGGACACAGCAGGAAGTCTTCCCAGGAAAGGGGGGCATGGAAGAAAAAACTCAAGAATGCCTCATAAAGGGCTCAACCTCTAACCTGGAAAAAGTGGTGTTCGAGCCAAAGGCAGGAACCAAAGACAGGGCCTGTCTTGGGTGTCTCAGAGCAGCTGGAGTTGGATACGGGTGAGGAGGCTGAGAAATGGGCATGGGGTAGCGGATCAGAGTCAGGTCATTAAGAGTCCCAAATGCCAACCAAGGACCTTGGATTATTTTCCATAAGCATAGAGAACCACTATAGGGTAGGGTCTTGTTTGTTTCTTGGGCATTTTTTTTTAATAAGGAGAAGACTTTAGACTGATTTGTATTTTAGGAAAATAGGTCTGATTGCAATGTGGTGAGTGTTTGGAGGAAAGACAGACAGACTAGGGAGACGAGTTAAATCGCTGGTCCCACAGAGTCAGCTCGGTTCTGGGGCCAGGGTAGATGCCGAGAGCAAAGGTGAGCTCGAGGCGGTTTTGAAGGCAGCTGCCTGCAGAGGGGAAGGGGCTGTTCTGGTGCGGCATCTCTAGATGGCGACGCCATCAGATGTGTAAAGAACACAGGAGTGGCCGGCCTCAGAGCAGTGGGTAAATGCTGTGCAGAGGAAGCTGGCTGCCACAGGGCTGGCCCGGGTTGGAGTCAAACACTTGATGTGCATGCACATGCCAAGGATCCTGACAGGAAGGAGAAAAAGGGGAAAGGATTGCAGCATGGCCAGGCCCCTGGGAGAGCTGTGTATGTGTGTGTGTGTGTGTGTGTGTGTGTGTGTGTGTGTGTGGTGTGTCTTGTATGTGTGCACTCTCCGGCATAACACAGGAGGAAGGCAGATTGACAGGACCAGAAATGAGTCTGAGTCTGGTTTTGTCGTAGAGGCTTACAAGGGTTAGTAAGGTGATGAAACAGTCTGTGAGTCCATTTGAAATACTTAGAAGAAAGAACAGGAGGGCCAACCCACGCCTCTTGGGAGATAAGTGAAGGTGGTTGTTACACAGAGGAAGAGCCATAGGCAAGAAGAGTGATGAGAAGACAGTAGTGGAAGATACCTAAGAAATGCCTGTGTTGGGTCAGCAAGTGGTGTGGTGGCTGAGGCGCTTCACTTCCACATGGCCGACCATAGTTCGAGTCCCAGACCTGACAGCTTGCTTTCTCACTTTCTTTCTCTCCATGGTCAAAATTTAAAAATAATCATAAATTAAATTAAATAATTATTAAAAAAAAAAAGAAAGAAAGAAAGAAAGAAATACCTACCCTTACACAGCCAGCAAAGTAACAGGTCCCTTCCAAGGAGTCAGGAAGGAGCCATAAAAGGGGGAGCAAACAAATCCAGGAGAAAAACTTAGAAGCCCGAAGCACATCGTGTCCAGTTGGGGAAGAGGAAGCAGCGGTGCTGATACGACGCAAAAGATTCAAATCAAGTGGGTGTCCGGCGGTATTTCCAAGAATAAGTACAGATCAACTGTTGTCAATAGTTGGGGTCTGGAGAGCGATTTGTTGACACAGGGACAGAAGGAACTTTTCAGGGTGACGGGAACACTTATGGTGGCAGTGATTCCATGGTGGTGAACGTTTGTCCAAACTTGTAGGCCTCCCACTTAGTGAAAAGAGTGGGTTTTACTATATGTAACCTGTGCCTCAATTAATGGCCATGGGCACTGAGGAATGTTACTTCCTGTTACTTAGATGGCCTCGTGGTGGCTGCTCCATTCCTGGGCTTCTGGTGCCAGAAGCTTAGCTGAGGAGTAGGAGGACAGGTGGGCAGTGAGGGCCCGGAGAGTGAACCTCCAGGGGAGACGAGTCGCATTGCAGGTCCCCGGGGGAGCATGAGATGAGGCGTGACAGAGGAGTCAGCCAAGTTCGTAATCCAGCCTGGCTTGCCCTGCGCAGATCCGACTCTGCCCTGCAGCGCTTCTGCCAGCAAATCCATCCGTTCTGCTGATGTTTCCGAAGCACCTGCTCGGTACTAGGGAGCCCCAACACGAGACACTTTGTCAGTCATCAGCTTACAGCTGGAAGAGGTGACTGGGAGTAAATTAAGGAAGAAAATGGTCAGCAGTGGTTAAGGTGCTTGCATCCCATTTGTCTGATTGCAATTCAAGTCCTGGAGCAGCGGCTTGAAAAACATACCAGCCTGTGTGCATGGGTGCCTGAAATCCTGAGAGGATGGAGGAGAAGCATGGCTGTTCCCCCAGGGAGTGCTTTCTCACTTTCCTTCTCTCTCACTCTGTCTCTGACTCCAGTGAAGCACACACACAATAGGGGAAAAAAAAGTCATTATATAAAAATCACAATAGAATTTAAAGTCTTTCGGGTCTCCTTCCACTTCAGCTGGCATACCATGGCCTGGCCTGAGTTCGATCACCAGACATCCCCCTCCGCCTGACGTCACTGTGACTTGTGACTAGTTAGACAGTGAACGTGGGGGTGGCCTCGGAGGCATGGCCACGGCGCGTGGCGTTTCCTGCCATGAGCCCTCTGAGCCACTGTCTCGTCCTCGCAGTGCAGCGCTGGCCCAGTTCCTCCCGGCCACACATGGGTCACAGCGAGAGTCAGCTCACCGCAGAGAAGTCCTCCTGGGACATGAGTGTAGGGCACGAGGAAGGAAGTGGTGCCTCACCAGAGACGCTCCTGCAGGTCCGGAAACCGTCACTTGGAGGCGGTGGCCTTGGCGGGCCTGCTTTCTGTGAGGGAGCAGCGGAGGCAGGATCTCCTAATAAGGGCTGGTATTTACTTTCACTTGACCCTGTTCTGGGTCCTGCCATGGTCTGCTGAAATGCTTGTAGCATTCATCATCGTGTGGGAGACAGTGTAGTCATTTCCTTGCTGCAATAACCTAGGGACCCGGGAGCGGGCAGGCCAGGGGCACGGCTCCTGCAGGTGGGAAAACTCCAGCGTAATGAGTCACTGTTGTGTCTCGTCACTCAACATGTGCTTGTTAGAGTGCCCTGAAACACTTCCTCATCTGTCCTCTCCAGGACAAAGTCCAGACTGAGAACTCAAACTCTCAGTCCTTCTGCAGAGTCCACTTGTTCATTTATCCATTCATTCATTTATTCAACAAATCACTATTAAATATCTATGACATTCAAGTCCAAAAACCTCATGGACATGAACAAGTTCTAGTGCTTGCTTCACGAACCTGAGGATGGACTCTGGTAATGCAACCATACATATATGGAATACTGCGGGCTTAGAGCAAAAGGGGCAAAAATGTCCACTTGACCTGTCCTCAAGGGAGACAGAGAGCCTTGTGCCTTCTGGCTCTCACAGGTCTAAGAGTAGAGAATCTCACCCCAAGCAAGTCCCTCCGGGAACAGTAGACATCTCCAGCCCTGCTGACTTTGGGGGCTCACATGGTAAATTCCTGGGGAGCTCAGCGTCTCTTCCCTCCAGATTTAGTTTTCTAAATATTTATTTTTACCTTCCAACTTCAGTGCTAGGTGAGATTTTCTGTCATTGAGTTATTTCATCATATTCTGTGTAGTTATTTAGTTATTTGGTCAACACAGCCAATAGCGGTAATAGTGGTAGTAATAAATACTGCTGGTGTCACACCCTCACTAGTAGATTTCACTTCCCCATGTGCAAGGGTTCTCAAGCACATAGACATCTAAACCTTGCTACCAGTCCTACATACATTGCAGAGCCTTGGTAATTTTTCCTTCCTAAAATAACTTTCTTTATTCCTAGTAAACTTCATTTGTATTCCGGCCTCCTTTTAATGCCATAATATACTCGTTCTTCGAATCGTCTATGGAAAGTGCATATTTGGACTAAAGTATGCATGGATTTCATACTTTTTTGCACCAAAATAAATTTGTACTTTAATTCAGTTTTCCCAGAAACTCTTTAATTACCAGAAGGTTTGTTTGTTTGCCAGAGAGGGACAAGGAGAAAGCACCCCCAATAGAG